AGGAACCCTTGTCGCTCCACCAGGTGCACGCCATGGCACACCCCTTCCTTGAGTCAAGCAGCCCGGCAGAATATCAGAAATGACTGATCCCACTCCTCATGTTTGCGGCATTCCTCCGCTACTCCGACCTCGTCTCCATCCAGTGGAACGACATCCAGTTTGACGAGGAGTCTATGTGGATCCTAATCCCGCACTCCAAGACGGATCAGGACGGCAAGGGCTCATGGATCCCAGTTGCTCCCACTGCCGGACCTTACTGCCCAGTCCGTTGCACCCAACGGTTTCTGCAACTTGCGGGACACCCCACCACCCCGCATGGACCATTGATCCGTGTCTTTGGCACCAGCGGCAGGGCAACCCCTCAAGCCAGCGCTCCGTCTTACACAACCATCCGAAACTGGTGCCTCGAAGCCTTCGCCAAGGCTGGGCTCGACAACAGACACCTCGGCACCCACTCTTTCCGCAAGGGCGCCGCAACTGCGGCAGCTAACTTGGGGATCCCCGACCGGCTCTTCAAACGACTCGGTCGCTGGCGCAGCGATACGGCCAAAGATCTCTACGTCACCATTGCGCAGGACCAGCTCCTTGCGGCGTCCACGCGCATCCAAGACGCTTCTGCCGCTCCATCGCCCATTCATCACCAGTTGTCTATCGAGCGACATCGCCAGCCCCTGCTACACATGCCTCAGAAGACCCATATGAAATGAAGCATGCTGCCTTTGCCAAGATGACCCAAGCAAGCTTTCACAATATGCAATTTTTTTAAAGCGTGTAACGCTTTATAAAAATGTGTATTGTGAAAGTGCAGCGAGGGCCAACGCAGCAAGGACAGCGTCGAAGCGCTACTCACCCTCTTTTGCCTACAAAAGAGGGACGTGAGGCCATTCGATCTCACCCACGTTCTTCATTTCTAGTTCCAGTTTCGTTTTCCCCACCCACCCACCCTATTTATAGGTGTAGTCTATTGGACGAGAACCATGTATGCAATCCCATATGAAATGAAGCACGCTGCCTTTGCCAAGATGACCCAAGCAAGCTTTCACAATTAGTCATTCTGTAACTTCAGCGCTAGTGTCAAACATGTGTATTTGTCATGTTTGTATAGACTGTATAGGGTTACCTCTTAGAGGGTACAACACTTAGGTATATTTGTGTGTACTCTCACTTTACCATTATTCGATTCTAATTCTGATATGGTATCACGCGTAGGTAGGATCCCCCCCACCTACCGCTTCCGCTCATCCCCCCTAGCGTCCCTCCTGGGCCCTGTAGCGCCCCCCCCCCAGGCCCCGTCGCGCCCCTCCCAGGCCCCGTCGCGCCCCTCCCAGGCCCCCTAGCGCCCCTCCTGGGCCCCGTCGCGCTCCTCCCAGGCCCCGTAGCGCCCCGTCGCGCCCCTCCTGGGCCCCGTAGCGCCCCTCCTGGGCCTCGTCGCGCCCCTCCTGGGCTTCGTAGCGCCCCTCCTGGGCCCTGTAACGCCCCTCCCAGGCCCCGTCGCGCCCCTCCCAGGCCCCGTCGCGCTCCTCCCAGGCCCCCTAGCCCCCCTCCTGGGCCCCGTCGCGCTCCTCCCAGGCCCCGTAGCGCCCCTCCTGGGCCCCGTCGCGCCCCTCCCAGGCCCCGTCGCGCCCCTCCTGGGCTCCGTAGCGCCCCTACTGGGCCCCGTCGCGCCCCTCCTGGGCCCCGTAGCGCCCCTCCTGGGCCCCGTCGCGCCCTCCCTGGGCCCTGTACCGCCCCTCCTGGGCCCCGTCGTGCCCCTCCCAGGCCCCGTCGCGCCCCTCCTCGGCCCCGTAGCGCCCCTCCTGGGCCTCGTCGCGCCCCTCCTGGGCTTCGTAGCGCCCCTCCTGGGCCCCGTTGCGCCCCTCCTGGGCCCCTGTAGCGCCTCTCTTGGGCCCCCCCGTCGTGCCCCTCCTGGGCCCCGTAGCGCCCCTCCTGGGCTGCGTCGTACCCCCCCCCCCCCGCGGTCCCGTCGCACCCTGCCCGACCCCGTCGCAGCCGCCCGGCCCCGTCGCGCCCGCCCGGCGCCGTCGCAGCCGCCCGGCCCCGTCGCGCCCGCCCGGCGCCGTCGCACCCGCCCGGCCCCGTCGCGCCCGCCCGGCCCCGTCGCAGCCGCCTGGCCCCGTCGCGCCCGCCCGGCCCCGTCGCAGCCGCCTGGCCCCGTCGCCCCTGCCTGGCCCCGCCGCAGCCGCCCGGCCCCGTCGCACCCGCCCGGCCCCGTCGCACCCTGCCCGGCCCCGTCGCCGCCGCCCGGCCCCGTTGCACCCGCCCGGCCGCCGTCCCGCTCGCCCGGCCCCGTCGCACCGGCCCGGCCCTGCCGCACTCGCCCGGCCCCGTCGCCCCAGCCCGGCCCCGTCGCGCCCGCTCGGCCCCGTCGCCCCGTCCCGGCCCTGTCGCACCAGCCCGGCCCCGTCGCGCCCGCCCGGCCCCGTCAGGCCAGCCCCGGCCCCGTCCTCCTCACTGGTACGGTTCCCCCCCACCCCGCCCTGCTCCGTGCCGCCCCGCACCA